CCGACCCCGCCCCCAGCCCCGTCCCTGCTGCTGGGACCCTTCTCAGACAAGGCGCCGCCACGCCTCCCTACATGCCCCGCCCCGGCCCTAACTGGGTCCGCCCCTCCACCGCCGCCGCGCCCCCTCGGCCTCACCGCCTCTGAGAGCCCGGTTGACCCGTCCCCCATCCGGCCCTACTGTGGAGTCGCCACGCCCTCTCCCCTGCACTGCTGCCGGACACCTCACCTGTGTCGTGGGCCGGCGGTCCACTGCGCCTACCTTTGTTGGCGCCGGAGCTGCGCCTGTGGTCCTGCACATGCAGGTGACAGGAGGGTCTGCATGGTGGGCCCGAACTCTGAGCAGTGACAAAGCTGGAGGATTACTCACCGACGCGAGGGACCCTGGCGTCTCTGCACCCCACGTCCTGCAAATAACACATTAGTCTAGTCATCGCAGCCTCATCGGGTGTTCGGAGTCCACTGAGTCGCTTTGGGGGCTCCCAGCGTGGAGCTCCGATCTCTAAAGGATTCTCAGGGGATTCGCAGACTATGCTTTTCGGTGTTCGTGTGTGGGAAATTATAACCAGGCCACAGGTGGTGCAGTTCTACCTAGGGCGCAGGGAATGGGTCCAGGTCACACCACTGAGTCTTCAGGGCCAGAGGGTTCCTGGTATCGACAAACATTCCCCACTTGTCTTTTAATTTCTCACTTTTGAACGGGAATGGGTAAAGAAAATTATTTCTCCCATATATGAAAGACAACAGTGGTAAAAGTGGTGGCAAATGGTTGTTGATGGACAGCCTAATATGTGTGTGGTGGGGGGACGGTGCTCGCTCCACACCACCTAAAGCCCCAGCTCATGGATGCTACGGGGACATACAGACCAGCAAAGGCAGGACTGAAATGGGATCAGGGCACACCAGCCCAAGGAATAGTCCTCAGATGGGGGCCAGGCCTTGGGGGGCCACTTTCTCTCTCTGTCACTAGAGAGGCAGAGCTGGAGAGGCGACCTTCCCACTGTCACCTGGATAAGAGGACAAGCCCCTGGCTGCATTTTTAGGTCCCTCTCTCAGAACTAATGTGCTGCCTTAATGCATTAGTAAGTTCTAAATAAAGAGGAGACTTGCTCAGGCTCTGAGAACAAAGGGTGGGCACTGCCCACAGAGGTGTAGTAGGTGCTGCCTCTGCCCAGAGGGTCCCTGAAGTTTTCCTAGGACTCAGGTACTTATAAGGCCTATTCTGGTAAACGGAATAAGTGCAAAGAAGCCTATGGCTCTCCTGTGTATAGTCAGCATCATGGTACGGCTCAGTATTTAGGAAGTGGCCCTAACGGCCTCTTACTAAGAAGAACATGGGCTCCCAAAAGCCTTTTCTACTCTGACTGGCTGGGAGACCCTTTCTCACTAGGGCATACTTGGCCCTCTGGGACAAGCAGTCACACTAATGCTTGTACACTCCAGAACAGCTGCCAGCAGCAGTAGCAACAAGGATCCCATGTCAGCAGGATGTTTTCAGTGATCTCTCCCCTTGGGGTTTGCAAGGTGTTTCCCCTTGTCCTTGCCAACCCCAACTGCCCTCAAATGTAGAGCTAGAACTATTTTTTTGCCCCTCTCTGCAGGACTCTGTCTCAAGGTTTAGATATTATTTCGTTTTTCATAGTGTCATTTTGCTAACTTGACTGAAATTTTTTCATACCAAGCTTCCATTACACAACACCGTCTTATTCTTATTAGCTCCTTAGAAGGAGGAAATTGATGGAACCAGCAGTTAGCGTAATAGCTATGTCGTTGGACTCCCACGTAGTCGACCGCAGTTCGTATCCTGGACCCGGTGACTTAAAACTCACACCGGGCGTGTGTGCGTGTGTGCCCAAGATCCCGAGAGGAGAATGGAGGAGAAGGGATTGCGCCGTGACCTAAGGGGTGATTTCTCACTTTCTGTCTCTCTGTCTCTCTCTGTCTGGTGAGCGCACGCACCCTATAGCGAAAACTTCTCCAAAAAAAAAAAAAGGAGGAAATTGAGAGAATGGGATTAGACAGATGTAAGGATGCAGGTTACACTTGGACATGACCTTTTGTGGGGAGGGGGAGTCTCTTCATTTCACTGGAGTCTTGGTTTTTCCAACTTTAAAATGGGCTTAATGGGGCCAGTAGATGGTGCAATGGTTATGTTGCTGGACTCCCATGTAGACAGCTGCGGTTTGAGTGCCAGACCCAGTGGCTCAAAACACACCTTGGGTGTGAGTGCACGCATATTTGAAATCCCAAGAGGAGAATGGAGGAGAGGGGATTGCTGCGTGGCCATCCCCCCCGGGGGGGGGTGATTTCTTGTTTTCTGTCTCTCTGACTCTGTCTCTCTGGTGAGCACACACACCCTATAGCAAAAATCTCTCTTAAAAAATAATAAATAAAATGGGCTTAATACTGCTTGGTAAATGAGTTTTCTAAGTAAATTATGTTGGAATAACTTAACTATTTAGAAAAAGATAAAGTTGGGCCCACAATTTGTTCACACCATATACCAGCATACTTTTTTTTTTTTTTTTAAGGGTTTTGCCACAGAGAGAGACAGTAAGCGGGATAGTAAGAAATCATCCCCCTGGGGGATGGCCATACTGCAATCCCTTCTCCATTCTCCTCCTGGGATTTCGGGCACACAAGCACGTATGGCCAGCATGATTTCCTTTCTTGGTTTGCTTTTCTTTTCCTTCCTCCCTTTATTTGTTCATTCCTTCCTTTCTTTCTTGAGAGATTTTTGCTATAGGGCACATGCGCTCACAGGAGAGACTAAAAGAAAGTAAGAAATCACCCCCCCGCCCCAGGGGTTGGGGATGGCCATGCCGCAATCCCTTCTCCTCCATTCTCCTTTGAGGATTTTGGGCACGCATTCACATGCACCAGTGTGATTTTCAAACTGCCAGGTCCAGGACAGAAACTCAAGTCGCCCAAGTGGGAGTCCAGTGCTTTAACCACTATACCACCTGCTGGTCCCACTAGTGTACATTTTAAATGAGTCAATAATTGAAAGTGTTAAAGAATGGGCCCCAAGGCATGATGGTTAAGAGAAGCAGATCCCACTCACATAACCACACATTTCAAATCCTGGTCCTGGCAGCTTGACAAACATGGCTGACATTTGTGCGTACGTGTCCCAAATCCTGACAAGATGGAAAAGTAAAGAAGGGATTGCAGCATGACCATGACCCATTGGAGAAGGCTTTCTTCCTCTCTCTCTCTCTTTCTCTCAGTCTCTGGTGAGTGCATGTACTCTCTGGCAATTGGGAAAAAAAATGACCTACGGAAAAAAGGGAGCAAAGAATATGAATAGAGAGAAAATATAACACACATACAAAAAGATATTCATAAAAAAAGAAATGCACATGTGAATGACATTGCAATTTTGGTTTTCACGTATCAGAATCTGAAAATTGGGCCAGCAGACGGGGTGGAGGTTAAGGCGGCTGGATCCCACATGGCCGCCTTCACGGTTCTGAGTCACTGACTCGGCAGCTTGAAAAATATGCTGGCTGTATGTGTGTGCATGCCCAAAATCCAAAAAGGAAGATGAAGGAGAAGGGATTGTGGTGTGTGTGGCCATCTCCCCTCAGGGATTTTCCCTCTCTCTTTCTGTCTCTGATATACATGCACCCTGTAGCGAAAAAAAAAAAAGACAAAAATCAGCAAACAAGCCTTCCCATGCATTCTGGTGGGAATACAAAGCAGTGGCACGCCACAGCGGGGAATCTAGTAACATTCTCTGTATGCCCTTGGCCCTTACTCACCTGTGAAACAGGGGTGTATAAGGGTCATCCCTGTGACATCAACAGCAACTGCAACAGATTAGAAAAGACCCAATTGTTCTTTAAGGGTCTAGCTAAGTAGACTGGCACTCCCACACAGCAGAGTGCTAGGCATTCATGAAAAAGAGCAGATCTCTGGACACTGACCCGAGAGGTCTTCCAGAGCTATCATTAACAAAAAAGCAAGATACAAAACTAGGTGTGTAATACTCTGCCTTTTGTGTAAGAGAGGGAGGGAGAGAGCATCCATTCATGTTTGTACCACACAGGGTAGACTGGAAGGACAAGCAAGAATCTGATAGAAAGGGCTGTCCTCGGTGGTAGGTGAATGGGGCGAAGATGGAAATGAGACAGTTCTCTGAGTAAATCTTTTTATCCTTTTAACTGTCAGATTGTGTAAATGTCTTACCTATTCAAAACAATAAAATTAAATTAAAAAATAAAATAGAGGCAACGATGCCTACCTCATAGAATTGTCATGAGGGTTCAGTTTCTTTCTTTCTTTTTTTGAGAGGTTTTTGCTGTAGTGTGCGTGCGCTCACCAGAAAGACAGAGGGAAACAGAGAGACAGAAAGTGAGAAATCACCCCCCAGGGGGGCTGGCCACACTGCAATCCCTTCTCCTCCATTCTCCTCTCGGGATCTTGAGCACACATGCACAAGCTCCTGGTGTGAGTTTAAGCCACCAGGTCCAGGACTTGAACTGCGGTCGACTACATGGGAGTTTAGCCACATAGCCATTACACTAACTGCTGGTCCCGAGGGTTCAGTTTCTAAGTGATCATGAAGACTTGTACAGTGCCTGGTACCTGGTTAACCTTCATAAACGGTCTTTTTTATCATGGCTTTATGGCAGGGGTAGGCTGGTTATGTTCAGACAAGCTGTCCCTCTTTGTCTCGAAAGAGTCATGGAACTCTCAGGACCCTAGGATGGAAATACGGCAGGACTTCCCCCTTCACCCATGTGTCCATGGCTCGTTCTTGGAGAATGGAGGAATCCAATTGCACCAGGAGCCTGGGGCATTCC